TCTTTGGCATTGCCTTTATTTGGGATTGGAATGAAAACTGACCTTTTCCCATCCTGTGGCCACTGCTGAGTTTTCCAAATTTGCTGGCATATTGAGTGCAGCACTTTCATAGTATCATCTTTTAGGATTTGAAAGAGCTCAACTGGAATTCCATCACCTCCACTAGCTTTGTCCATAGTGATGGTTCCTAAGGCCCACTTGACTTCACATTCCAGGATATCTGGCTCTAGGTGAGTGATCACACATCATGGTTATCTGGGTCATTAAGATATTTTTTGTGTAATTCTTCTGTGTATTCTTGCCACCTCTTCTTAACATCTTCTGCTTCTGTTAGATCCTACCATTTCTGTCCTTTACTGTGTCCATCTTTGCATTAAATATTCCCTTGTTATCACTAATTTTCTTGAAGAGATCTCTAGTCTTTCCCATTCTTTGTTTTCCTCTATTTCTGTGCATTGATCAGTGAGGAAGGCTTTCTTATCTCTCCTTGCTATTCTTTGGAACTCTACATCAGATGGGTGTAGCTTTCCTTTTCTCCTTTGCCTTTAGCTTCTCTCTTTTCTCAGCTTTTTGTAAGGCCTCCTCAAGCAATCATTTTGCCTTTTTCCATTTCTTTTTCTTGGGGATGGTCTTGATCACTGCCTTCTGTACAATGTCATGAACCTCTGTCCATAGTTCTTCAGGTGCTCAGTCTATCAGATCTAATCCCTTGAATCTATTTGTCACTTCCACTGTATAATCATAAGGGGTTTTATTTAGGTCATACCTGAATGGTCGTTTTCCCTACTTTCTTCAATTTAAGTCTGAATTTGGCAATGAGTTCATGATGTGAGCCACAGTCAGCTCCCAGTCTTATTTTTGCTGACTGTATAAAGCATCTCCATCTTTGACTGCAAAGAATATAATCATCTGGTTTTGGTATTGACCATCTGATGATGTCCATGTGTAGAGTTGTCTCTTGTGGTGTTGGAAGAAGGTATTTACTATGACCAGTGCATTCTCTTGGTAAAACTCTGTTAGCCTTTGCCATGCTTCATTTTGTACTCCAAGGCCAAATTTGACTGTTACTCCAGGTATCACTTGACTTCCTACTTTTGCATTCCTATGAAGGAGAAGGATTTTTTTTTTAATGTTCTAGAAGGTTTTGTAGGTCATCATAGAACCATTCAACTTCTGTTTCTTTGGCATTAGTGGTTGGGACATAGACCTGGATTACTGTGATACTGAATGGTTTTCCTTGGAAACGAACAGAGATCATTCTGTTGTTTTTGAGATTGCACCTATGGACTGCATTTCAGACTCTTATGCTGGGTACAAGGGCTACTCCTGTTCATCTAAGGGATTCGTACCCACAGCAGTAGATATAATGGTGATCTGAATTAAATTCACCCATTCTGCTCCATTTAAATTCACTGATTCCTAAAATGTTGATGTTCAGTCTTGCCATCTCCTGTTGACCACTTCCAATTTACCTTGATCCATGGACCTAACATTCCAGGTTCCTATGCAATATTGCTCTTTACAGCATTGGACTTACTTCCATCACCAGTCATATCCATGACTGGACATTGTTTATGCTTTGGCTCCATCTCTTTATTCTTTCTGGAGTTATTTCTCCACTCTTCTCCAATAGCATATTGGGCACCTACCAACCCAGGGAGTTCATCTTTCAGACGAGATCGGGCGCGTTCAGGGTGGTATGGCCGTAGACTTGGGAGTTCATCTTTCAGTGTCGTATCTTTTTGCCTTTTCATTCTGTTCTTGGGGTTCTCAAGTCAAGAATACTGAGGTGGTTTGCGATCCCCTTCTCCAGTGGACCATGTTTGTCATAGCTTTTCATCCAATACTTCCCATTAGCTATCTCTATTACATATGATAATGTATTTCAATGCTACTCTCTCAATTCGTCCCTCCCTTTCCTTCCCCCACTGTCTGTCCAAAGTCTGTTCTCTATGTCTGCATTTCTATTCCTCCCCTGCAAATATGTTCTTGGATGCATATTCTTTCCCTAAACTTTCTTCTAAGGTAATTATTTGGGACTTCCCTTCCCTGGTGGCTCAGATGGTAAAGTGTCTGTCTGCAATGCTGGAGACCAGGGTTCAATCCCTGGGTCAGAAGATCCCCTGGAGAAGGCAATGGCAACCCACTCCAGTACTCTTGCCTGGAAAATCCCATGGACAGAGGAGCCTGGTAGGCTACAGTCCATGTGGTCGCAAAGAGTCGGACACGACTGAGCAACTTTACTTTGCTAACTGTATAGTGTCAAAGACTACTCCCAAGCAATGACTTTTATTTGTACTACCTCCTAGACTGAACTCCTGGGAGGCAGACATCTTTCCAGGACTCCACAGTGCCTCCTAGTGCCTTATGCAATAAGGCAATAGTGACAATAAAAATAAAATGAAGGTAGGTTGAATTGAGTAGAAGATAACTTGGACAAATAATAGTTCAGACTTTTTTGTTTCTTAATTTTAAAAAACATTTTAAAGTGAGACACATATGGAAAAATGGTCAGTTGGATATTTGTTTCTACAAAGCTAATGGCACCCATACGAAATCACCAGAGACATCCCAGAAGTCCTGGTGTCCCTTCCTAGTTACAACCTCTCAAAATGTAACCACATATTTAAGTTTATGACACCATAGATTAGTTTTGCCTGTTTTTGAAGCTTTATATAAATGGAATTATTCAACATGTCCTCTTTTGGACCTGGTTTCTGTGGTGCCTTGTACCAAGGTGATAGGTGTAAATCCTTGTACCAAGGCCACAGATGTGGAGCCACTACCAAAGTCTTCTTTGGAACAGAGTGTCCCACAGCAACCGTTGCCATGAGCCCCCCCATCTAAACCAGCCTGACCCCTGACCCCATGTTAGGTAAAAATACCCACCCTATAGCACCCTAACCAGTCACCTAATGCCACTCTTCCAGCAGGAATTTTCTTTTTGAGGCTATAAAAATTGGCTACTAGCCCACAAAAAGCTTCAGCTCTCACTTGAGCTGGCCCGCTGTTCTAACAGCATCTCCTGTTCTAATAAACTCTATTTTCCTCTCATACTGCCTCACGGCTGGAAATTGTTTTCCAGCCCATGCTTGGAGCATGACAGTTTTCCATCTCTCAACTTTGTGAGGTTCATCCATATACTGCAGTGCATTCACTCTCATTTCTGCATAATATTCCATTGTGTTAATATACCACAATGTCATAATCCACTCTCCTGTTAGTGGACCCCTGGATTATTTCCAGTCTGGCATTGTTACAAATACTGCTGAGATGAACATTCTAATACCTATTTTTTGATGGATATGTGTATGCATTTCTGTTGAGTATATATCTAGGGATGGGATCATGGTCATAAGGTAGGCATGTGTTCTTTTAAAAATTTTGTAATTTATGTCTGGCTGTGCTGAGTCTTTGTTGGTACAGCAAAGGCCTTCTCTAGATTTGGCCCACCTGCCTAGATGCTCCGACGAGTGCAGGATCTTTCCAGACCAGGAATGAAACCTGTGTCTCCTGCATTGCAAGACGGATTCCCAGGGGAGCCCATGTTTTCTTTTTTTTTTTTTTCATTTATTTTTATTAGTTGGAGGCTAATTACTTTACATCATTGCAGTGGTTTTTGTCATACATGAAATGAATTAGCCATGGATTTACATGTATTCCCCATCCCGGTCCCCCCTCCCACCTCCCTCTCCACCCGAACCCTCTGGGTCTTCCCAGTGCACCAGGCCCGAGCACTTGTCTCATGCACCCAACCTGGGCTGGTGATCTGTTTCACCCTAGATAATATACGTGTTTCGATGCTGTTCTCTTGAAACATCCCACCCTCGCCTTCTCCCAGAGTCCACAAGTCTGTTCTATACATCGGAGTCTCTTTTTCTGTTTTGCATATAGGGTTATCGTTACCATCTTTCTAAGTTCCATATATATGTGTTAGTATACTGTAATGGTCTTTATCTTTCTGGCTTACTTCGAGGAGCCCATGTTTTCTATGTCTGTGAGTCTATTTCTGTTTCATAAATATGTTTACTTCTATCATTGTTTTCCCTAGAAAACATATAAATGATATGTTATCTTTCTGGGTCTGATTTACTTCACTTAATATGATAATCCCCAGGCGCATCCATGTTGCTGCAATGACTTTCATTCTTTTTTACAGCTGAGTAATATTCCACTATGGGCTTCCCTGTGGCTCAGCGGTAAAGAACCCCATTGCCAATGCAGGAGATGCAGGTTCGATCCCTGGGCAGGAAGATCCCCTGGAAAAGGATATGGCAACTTACTCCAGTATTCTTGCCTGAGAAATCCCATGGACAGAAGAGCCTGGAAAGCTATAGTCCATGGGGCCAAAAAAGAGTCAAGCACCACTTACCCCAACCATCATCACCACCACCAACACCAACACCACCACTCTCTCCTTTTCCTCCTTCATTTTAACCATCCTGGTGTGCGTGCAGTAGAAATTCCGGTGGTTTTAATAAGTTGAAGATCCCCGATGACCAATTCACTTGCGCACTTTTCACGAGTTTATTGCTCACTGGGAATATTCCCTTTGGAGAAATGTGGTGTAGACCTTTCAAAAAACTTTCGTCACTATTGACTCAACCCTTGCTCAAGGCCATGCTGTTACGAGTTTCCAAACAATTCCAAATTGGGTAGGCGGGAGAAGGAAAAACAATCTCTCCAAACAGGGGGTCCCTTTCTTGCCCCCTCCCACTTCCCGGGGCAGCATGCATGAGGCAATGGAGAATGACCTTCATTATACCTAATCCCAAATTTTAAAGAGTCCTTTCCAGGAGGCGGAGGGAAAGACAGCCGGGGGCTCTTCATCCGAAAAGAGCTACGGATCCAAAAGAACCATTAGAAATTGCCCTCGATCTTCTCAGCCCATCTCTGGCCCGTCCTGCAGTTACCTGGGGACACCACCTCCCGGGCGCAGAAGCGTTGGGGCGGGGGGGGGGGGGGTACATATCTCTTAAAACAGAAATGTTAACATTCTCTTAACGGCGGCGCTGAGAATGGTGGGGCCCAGCGCCGTTTCCCCGTAAAGGCTTCCCCTGGCTCTCGGCGTAGACGCCAGGGGTGCGGGGTGGGAGCAGGGTGGGAGCGCGGTGGGCGGCGGCGGCCCGGCTGGTCAGTTTGGCTCGAAGGTGAGATGTCAGGCTGGGGCCGCGGTTGAGGGAACCCGCGAGCGCTACCCCTGCCCACGCCCCGGGTGGGTGCCTGCGTCTCGCTGACAAACGAGTCCCGTTTTCCTCCCGCATCAACGGATCGTTCAAAACAGAATCCTGGACATCTCGTGGCAGCGCGGAGCTCCTAACGGCCGCGCAGCCGTGGGGACGGAAGCGCGGTGGCGGCATCGCTGTCACCCCCGGGCGCCGCGGCCTGGGACCCGCGGAGCTGCGTGGCTGGGCCCGGAGATGGGCGGTTGAGCGGCGCCGCTGGGCCCAACCGCAGCTGCCACTAGCCGGGCTGCGCTACCCTAGTGTTGGACAGGCGAGAGAATCAGCCTCCGAGCTGGAGTCGGGTAAAGGTGGGTGGGGACTCGCAATTGGGCGGGACTAAGCGAGAAGTGGTCCTGGGGCTCTGGAGAACCGAGCTGGTATCCTGAGCGTGCTGGAGAGAATATCGGTTATTTCTTCTGAGCGCTTCCCCTAACCCCAACCCTGCTCCAAGTGCTGGAGGCTCCGCAGTAAACGAGGTGGGCAATGGCCCTGTCCTCCTGGAGCTTATATTCTAGGGAAGGGATAGACAAGAAGATGCGTGGATGTGTAATAAAATGCCAGACAGTGATAAATCTCAAGAAGAAAATAGTAAGAAATGCGAAGGGGGACGAAGTGGGTCTGAGGGACTGTCTTTTGACCAGACACCTGAAGAAAGTGAGAGAGTCATAGGAAAAAGCCATCCAGGCGAAGGGAACTACCAGTTCCCTTGAAAGATAGCTACCAGGAGTGTAAGTGCCTTGCAAATGATAACTTCGTCGGTTTTTGCAAGATAAAAATTGGAAGTTCCTTAGGAAATTATGGCTCACTTATTCAGTGCAAGTACAAAGAAAAGTGTGTTTATTTGAGTTTGAAGTGTTGTAGAGGTTTGGTGTGTGTGTTTTCCCCCAAAGAGGATGACCTGGAAGAGGAGAACTAGCAGACAAAGGAAAAGAGATTGGGAGGTGAGGAGGAAGGCAGTGGTTGCAGCAGAGAGAAGTGAAAAGGAAAGTGTGATAAGGAAGCTGTGGCACAGTCAAAGGAATGAGCTGTCCTGGTTGTCCCCTTCCTCCTAACAAACTCAGGAAACAGTACTAGTGCTTCACCATACATCTCAGCTAAGCCCCAGAACTATGCCCCCAAGTCAGGAGAGCTGGTGGAGGAGGACACAGACTTGATAACTGGCTAAGGCAAATCTGATTTCTGACTCCACTAAAGCTCACTGATGCAGTGTAGGCTCAGGTGAAGCTTTGAGGAGGTGGCTTATTTAAAATGTTTTATAATCTTATACGGCAGCATAAGCCACATTAAATCACAGAATTTTATAACAGCGATTTCACTTCATCCCTTCTCTTTTTGCTGATGGTGAGACTGTGCCAGCTGGTGTCACAGCCATGACTCAAAATATACAGGTCCCATTTTCACCATCTTCAGCTCTTTCCCCCTTCTCTCCCTTTACTTGATAAAGTTCTTCCCACTGGCTACTGAACAAGTGGAAAGAGCTTTGTGGAGAACCCCAGAATTAGGTTAATCTAAGACATTAGAATTATATGAGGTCTTAGCTTCTTCCACAAGTATTTTTTACTGGTGTGCCAGTGGGTTGGGGTGGGGGGGGACTAAGTTACAGCCTCACCTCTCAAGGAGCTCTCAAGCAAATAAATAACTCACCAATTACAATTTACAGGAAGCAGTACCTTGAAGAAGAATTGGAGGGCAAGTCAGTTCTTAGTATAGCAGAGAGATGGAGAGCAGCAAACAGGAAGTGAGTATTAAGAATTTATGTCAGATTGGTATCAGCTTGTTTTGTCATGGATATGTTAATCTGAGTACCTATCATCTCCTTAAACGTTTGTTGTCTTATTAATGTGGACTCACTTAAGTGGTGATGGGAGAGACTACTGGGGCCAATAGACTTGGTACCTTCCCATATTCTTTTTCTTCACAGTATTTGCATGATAAACTATCCATGTTCAGCATTGTAATTGCAAACAGGCCTCAGTAAAATTCTACACGACTGGATGAGAGGGAATTTCATTGAAAACTGCCATGACTTTTGAGGGGTGAAGAATCATATACCATGAGCAGATAGAAGACTTCTTACAGAGCAGACTCTAGAGTGTAACTGAGTCATATTACTTGCAAAGCCTTGTGATGAAGATTCACAAAAAGACACTAAAGAATTTATGACCCAAAAAAAAAAAAAAAGAATTTATGACCCTTTGGACTGGGATGGAGGCAGGGTAGACCTTATCTGGTGGCTAAACTATGACCTATTTATTGCCTGAAGTCAAGGGTTGACCCCTTGTGATCCTATCTAGGAAGACTTTAAAAAGCTTTGTTCTCACGGAATTTACTGGGATCTTGAATGGCAGTCTTCTCAGACTAGTTTCTTTCCAGTCTTTATAATGGCCAGACAAAGAAAAGCAGAGCTAGGGGGGAAAGAACAGGAGTAATTGCTCTTCCTTAGCACATTTTCCAAAAAAAAAAAAAGTACATCTTTTGGAAAATCTGAAAAGTCAACACATTTTTAAGGATGGTACGTTCACATGATAGTTGTTAAGGCAATTTTGGAAAGACTGGTTGGAACACTGTGAGGACAAGGTGTGAGGCAGAAATCAAAGAGCCATCCTTTTTAAAAAATGTGTTCATTCCTCTACCAATGGTGAGCAAAGCCCCCGTGCCTCCTGCCCACCCCCCCGCTCCCCACTAAGCCCCACTGCTGCATGTTTATTTAATCTAATAATTAGATTTGACTATTTAAGATTGGGAGCTACTGTTTTTGCCATTTCAAAAATCAGAGTAGTCTATCTCTGTTATTTGTGGGCTTCCTAATTATGCCAACCTTACCATTATTAAGATATATCATTGTTGTGGTTATTTTATTTAAAAAGAAGTACATGCTTGTGAAACATCTCAAATAATAGAGAAATTAAAGGACAAAGACCCCTGTATTGTAGTGGGAATTAATGGTAAAGGCAAAAGTTTAAGATGGTTGTTGCTGTTGTTACTGGCATTAAAAACAGTGATTGGACATCAGCTCTACCCCAACAGCAACAACAACAAAAAACAAAACAAAAAAGTAACTTTACTTTTGACAAGGCCATTTTGACATAGCCAGATGCAAATGGCTATGAAAGTTGGTCCTATTTCATACCTATTAGCCAGACACTGTAATTTACTCTTTGGATGACATCAGTCTTTGCGGACAATTAAATTAGATACTATAGTCTAAGCACTTACCAAAGAATCTTGCTATAAAGGGAAAGGTTCAGTTTTTCCACATACCAAGCAATGCTCGGTGGCTGCAACTGGATGTCCTACAGCGTAACTCGATTCTGACACTGTCCTCCCTGCCCCTCTGCATACACACACACACACACACACACACACACACACACTTCAGATGCCAGTTGCAAGATTACCTGTGCTTCTGACCAACCAGTTGTAGATTGGGAGGGCTTCTTTGGGTTCAATTAATTTGCTGAAATGGATCACAGAACTCAAACACTTATGTTTACCAGTTGATTAAATGAGATAAAGGACACAGATGAACAGCCAGAGAAATACATAGGGCAAGGTCTAGCAGAGTCGCTAGGGAGTTGAGGTGTGTCGCCCTCCCCTTGTATGTGTTTAGCAACCTGAAAGCTCTCTAAAACCCCTACCACTGGGATTTTATGGAGGCTTCCCCACACAGGCACCGTCAATCAGTAACTCATGTTTCTAGCCCCTCTCCCCTCTCTGGAGGATGAGAGGTGAGCTGATAATCCCAAGCTTCTAATCATGGTTTGGTCTTGCTGGGGACCAGCCCTATCCAGGGGCCCACCCAGAGCCACTTAATTAGCACAAAAGATGCTCCTAGTGCTCTTGTCACTGAGGAATTTACAAGGGTTTTAGGAGCCTGGGACCTGGTCAAAGACAATGATTGGAACAAGAGATGTTTCCAGTGTTCTTATCGCTTAGGAAATTACAAAGATTTTAGAAGTTCTATGCCAGGAACCAAGGACAGAGACCAATATTCATATTCTGTTATCTCACATTGGCATATAGAAGATGTTAGTACTTGGGAATTTATTATTATTTACATGCATTGATTTGTGAGGCAGATATTACTCTGAAAACCATGTTTAAGATCATGAGATAAATTTTTAAGGTCACACAACTTAGCTTCACTAAGAGAGTGTGTTGTGTCCAATATCTTTACAGGAGGACTCTCTTTCCTCTGTTCTACATTATTCCCCTATAGACAGATCTACATTATTCCCCTGTAAACAGGTCTCTGTGGAGATTCGCCAGGCAAGAATACTGGAATGAGTTGCCATACCCTCCTCCAGGGCATCTTCCCAACCCAGGGATCGAACCCAGGTCTCCTGCATTGCAGGCGGATTCTTTACCATCTGAGCCACCAGGAAAGCTATAGACAGATCAAGAGATTCAGAATTCAATAGCCCTGAAGAGAAATCAAGTATAGTGTGAAAAAGGTAACTCTGCGTTAGGAAGGTCCCCTGGAGAAAGGATGGGCTATCCACTCCAGTATTCTTGGGCTTCCTTGGTGGCTCAGACTGTAAAGGATCCACCTGCAATGTGGGAGACCTGGGTTTGATCCCTGGGTTGGGAAGATCCCCTGGAGTAGGGAAAGGCTACCCACTCCAGTATTCTTGCCTGGAGAATTCCACGGACAGAGGAGCCTGTGGGCTACAGTCCATGGGGTCGCAAAGAGTCAGACACGACTGAGGACTTTCACTTCACTTTGCATTATCATCCACTCATTGAATTTCAATTCAGGTTCAAAAGGAGATCAGTAAGGAGTACAGAGTTAAAAAACAAATGTAAAGACTTATGTAGCGCTTCAGTTCCATATTATCAGGGAAAGCTATGGAGGCAGAAGGACACATGGACATAATTATACAGTTCACAAGGAGAATAAGACCTATTGTTCTTTCAAGTATCGTTCCTCTAAAAAATAGGAATAGAGCAAAAAGTAAAATTATTTTTCCTGGAGACATGTGGTTTCCACATTGTTCTCTGTGACTCACTTGTTTATTTAAATCTTTAAGTGATATTATATGACAGACACTATTGGAGCCTGAGACTGCCCCTCATGGATCTTATTCTCATGAAGGAAGTGATAAATCCTATGAAGAATAAGTAAGGGAGTAGAT